GCAGCCGGGCCGAGGGGGGGCCCTGCCCGGCGACCGCGGCCCCGGCCATGAGCGGCGCGGCGGAGGCGCGGGAGCTGGAGGAGCGGCTGCGGGAGGCGGCGGCGCTGGGGGACGTGGCGGAGGTGCGGCGGCTGCTGGGCGCGGGGGCGGACATCGACTCCCGCAACGAGATCAACGGCTGGTGAGGGTCCCGGCGCTGAGGGGGACACGGGGCGGGCCGGGGGCGCTGCGGGCCCGGCTCTTGCCTCGCTGCCCTTCCCTGTGGCGGTGTTCGGGGTGCTTGGGCTCGGGGCTCCCCCTAAACCATCATCAGGCGCGGGGTGGGGGAGCTGCTCCGGGCACGCAGCKCTTGTGTTTCTTAGTTTCTCCATTTACAAAAACGGAAAAGCTAATCTCGGGAGGCTTGCAGATTTACTGCTAAAGAGGATCACGATAAAAGCAGGTCGCCCTCCTTCCACCTGTCACYGCGTGTTTGCTCAAGGTCCTCCTCCTGTCGCTGTGGGACAGCAGGAGTCACTCTGCAAGGCAAAGAATGGCCCTACAACTTACAGATTCAGGACTTTAAAAAGCGCGGCAGTGAAGGAAACTTTGTTCCTAGGTAGCACTTCACGCATAACTGGGGTGAAGTAGGAGGGGCTGGTGAGGAGGAGCCGGCACGATGGATCCCAACCCTTGTGCTTCCTTCCCGCAGGACCTGCCTGCACTGGGCCTGTAAGCGGAACCATGCCCAGGTGGTGTCCTGCCTGCTGGAGGCTGGAGCTGACAAGCACATCCTCACTGCTCAGGGAGAGCTGGCGGCACAGCTAACGTCCAAACCAGACATCCGCAAGATTCTGGGAGGTACTGTTCCCATCCTAGAAGTCATCTAGAATTCTTGGTCTAAACACTAAAATGTTTCTAGTGTTTATCTGAAGCAGTGATTGGCAAAACCTTGGCTAGGACCATTGTATCTCATTAGATAGCTCTGATTTGTAAGTGGAATTCATACTTGAGCTAATAAATATGAGGGTTTCAGGTAGGAAGGCCTTGTGTTCTGAACTGTATCACCAAGAGGTGGAAAGAGCTGTGTGCTTTGGGAAGTGTACTGCTGCACTCCTGTTGGCTGTCATTGAGCTAAAGCTGGCACGCAGGTTGCAAATGGGATGGAGGTTTTCACAGTTGTACAATTTGGGTTGGTCTGACCATGCTCGATATTACAAATCCTCTCACTCAAGAAGTTACAGCTTCTGAGCACCTGTTATACTGTGACTTGCCAGTATGGTTATTTTTTGCCTCATAATTCTGCCATACTTCTCATGAGCACAGCAAACTGAGTTAGATGTGACACTCCTGAACACAACTGCCATCAGCATCTAGGTACTGTGCTCCAGATTAAAAATTATAAGTGCTTTACCTTTGGAAATGTTGATGTGCTGTCTTCTCCTAATTGCAMTTAAATTGCTCTCTTCAAAGATCTGCTCTTTTCAACAGTGCGGGGTTATCCTTAACAAGATTGCAGCTAAATCATGACTCAGGTTTCAACAGTAACCCCTGAAAGAATGGCATGTTCTTGCCTGATACTTTGAATTTCTTTAGGGCAAGGTGCTCATCTCTTGGGCTTAGTTTGCAGCAAACCTGTTTTTAACTTCTGAACTGTCAAGCACATGGGGATGAACTCTGTTCATAGTTGTCTTATTTTTGTCTGTTATGCTTTCATGTGTTTCCTGGGGAATAAACACATCTCACGTACCTTCTCTCATAGTTTTTATTCTGGGAGTGTGGTGCTACTGAGCAGATCTCTCTGAACTGCCTAATGTTCTATAATCCTCAATCAGGCAGGAATGTCACTTACTGTAGTGCCTTTATGCAAGAGAAGACTTTGGGTATTACAGCAAGTAGTTACTTGCCTGAAGGAACTTGCCTGAATAATGGGCTGAATTTGCTTGCCTGGGTCATAATAAACTATTTACAGCAGTGCTATTAAAAGCACTTTGAGATTTAATAAAGGACTACTGGTCATCCAATTAATTTGAAAGCACTGGAATAACACTGCTAGAAATTATGTGTCTTTCTAGGGTTATTTTTTCCCTCAGTTTGTTTTTAAAATCCAGAATACACTGAAGATATTTCTAGGTTTTTCTTCACTTTACTGCTGCTGGCCTCCAGGTGTTACACGCTTGTGGAACATCAGTGCCATTCTTTGATGACCCTGGAATGTGATGTAGTTTCAAGACACAATAGGAAAGCTAACTATATTCAAAATGTTAAAGATCTATCCAGTAACATGGTGGTTTGTTTTCTCTCTCCATCCCCTACCCCTCATTTTTGAACTTCATCAGTAGAGGAAGAAACTGAATGTCAAGGAGTGAAGGATTTAAATTTGCCARTTGTTGCCAACTACTTGGCCAACCCACCATTCCCTTACACGGAAGAAAGCATTCCAGGCAGCTTGGCAGAATCCCAGAATGAAAGTGCTTCCATCTCTTCTGCTTCCCAGTGTGAAACCAGCCCCTGTCCATCAGCAGCTCAGGCCGAAAGCATCTGCACACCAACATCATGCAGCAGTGACGAGGCTTTCCCGGCACTGGACACTGTGGCTGCACCACCCCCCGTRCCCACTGTCCCTGCAGCCACGGCAYGTGCCAGCCCAGAGCTGCCCAATGGCCCYGTGTGTCCCCCGGCCGTGCCCCCCGGGATGGGGCTCTGCTCCCCAGCAGTGTCCAGCCAGGCCGTGCCTCTGCAACCCAACACCTCCCCCAGCAGCTCCATGCCTGCTTTCCAGCCCTTCTTCTTCACTGGAACATTCCCGTGTAACGTGCAAGGTAAAGAGGTGCCCCGTCCTGTCCTACTACAGTTACTGGGTGAACAATGAAGTTAAATAATCACTCCACTTCAGACTCGAGTAGAGGCAGAAATGTTCAATTCTGTGCCAGAAGTGCCCTGAACCTTTTCCTGCTCAGTTAAGTAAAATTTCTGTTATACTTTATTTTAACCATGGTAATACTTTGCAAAACAATGGAAAGATCAGTCCAAGTAACATGAAAGATTAAATTTTGCAATACATTTGCATCAAATGCAGCTCTGCTAGTTTGGCAGCAACTTGACTTTGATCCATCCAGTCACAGTGTTCCAACAGTGTTAACATGGTTCCCCTCTATTTTTGCTGGAAGCTTCTATTAACTGCACAGTATTTCTCAGTGAGATCATAGGGATTGTATTATAAAACCTGAATTCAGAAGATAATAGTAAAAACTATAGTGTTACTTTTGGGTTTGTTGTCTTTTGTGTTGTTAACCTTTTAATCCTTTCTCTGTCAGAACTTGTGCTCAAGGTGAGAGTCCAGAACCTCAGAGACAATGATTTCATTGAGATTGAACTGGACAGGCAAGAACTGACCTATCAAGATTTGCTCAGAGTGAGCTGCTGTGAACTGGGCATTAATCCARAGCAAGTAGAGAAGATCAGGAAACTACCCAATACACTAGTGAGAAAGGTAAGAATAGAAACCAGATTAACTTGACTTTGCAGACACCAGAGAAGGTATTTTTGTAMAAAGATTGCGAAAATGTCACCTTTGTTAAAAACAAAAACAGACTTAAGCTGACAAATTCAGAGGGATGATGGAACTTCATTGTAACTTTGTTAAAAATATTCTTGTCAAAAGAGGCAGAGTATTTCAGCTCCTAAAGCATATGGAACTATTACASCTTGACTTCTTTAAAATATAACAGAAATGGTGCATTAGGATGCTTTTAACATAATTGCCAAGTACTACTTCACTGCTTGCCTAAAAAGAACAAACAGTAAGGGGAAAAAAACCTCCACAAATTGGCATATGAATAATTTAAAGATAYGCTGTTAACAAATGAACCTGCTCTTCTGTTCCAAAAATATTTTGGAGGCCTGTAAATGAAAGTGGTCACAGCTCTTGGTTGAGTGATGTGCACAAATTCAGCCAAATCATGAGATTTGAAAAGAAAAAGTTTGAGGAGAAAAACCAAACAAGCACACTGCTACACTTTCAATGAGTATATGCTGGTAAGATTTATTTTTTCATTATTTATTTCTATCATTGGGTGTGATGTCCCTGAATTTTAGTTTTTACTTCCTTAAGCTATTTTATAAATAATAGCAACACTCAGCTATGTTTAGGAGTAATGTGTCATTGTGTGTGTTCCTCACAAGGACAAGGATGTTGCCAGACTCCAGGACTTCCAAGAGCTGGAGTTGGTCCTTGTCAGAAGTGACAGCTCTCCTTTCTGGAACGCTGCGTGCTACAACAGCAGAGCATCCAAGCTGACCTACTGACCCTGCAGCTGSAATGTGGACACCTGGCAGGGACATGTGCTGCCTTTGGAAGGCAGTGAGTTACATGTGTGTAAAACCTTAAGTTATTGTTAGGGTTACTGTTTTAACTAATAGTTTATATTTTATATTTAATATCCCCTTTGCTTTTGTTTTTTACTTGATACTGTATTCAGCCAAGGGATACCTCATTTGTCTGCTAAAATCACATGCTTCCAGTATATTTTAAGGTAGTTTACTGGTTGTATTTGGCAGCAGGGGGCACAAAAGATATAATTATTGGTATGAAATTATGTTAAGTACAGCCATTCTGACCAAGACTCATGGAAAGATTCAGGAAATYATGTGTCTCTGTGTGTATATATGTATTTTGAACTTTGTCATTAAGTTAAAGAGGCAAACAATGACAAGTTGCTCTCTAAAAAGGTAAATGCGCAAATCCTTAATCCTTTGTCCCTCACAGACATTCACTAAGATGTGTTGTCTAGAGATATTTAAATGTTTCTTTCCCATGTGAGAATATTGCACCTTAAGTGATGGCATCTCTCCACCTCACCTCCACCAAAAAATACAAAAGCGTCTTAAATATTCCTTAATTAAGTCCCAAACAAGCTGAAGTGTCCTTTCAAGAAAAAGCCCTTGTTTCAGGARTTGGGGAGGGGATCCCCAATCTATGTCCGTGGTTTTATTTATTTACTTTCTGTCCAATGTGAGCCTATGCATTACTCACACCAGTGTCAGTACAGGAAAGCTTTGTGGCTCACTCTCACACACAGTTACAGGGGATGTGGTGGTTTCTGCTGTGTGAGAAATACAGCWGTGTCCTCCTGAGGGGTCACAGCTGGAAGGAACATACCACACTTTTATGAGTCACTAGATGGGAAACACACCACAAGCAAGTACCAACCTGTAACTTTACATAATGCAGTGTACTGTCACCGTTATACAGCATTGCTTTACCCAGGTGATACTGAAAGGGCTGAATGCCTCCAGGTGCTTTCAAYTTTTTTTTTTTTTTCGGTGGAGGGTGAAAAAAAACAATTCTAAGAAGGCTACAGCCTGTTTGACTTGCATTTAAGCAAGYCAGTAAAGAAAACATCCACCTGTGGGTTAAAGTATGTAAGTCACAACATTGCTGGAGTATAAACAGCCTGAAGCTTTTCCTGATACCTTGGCAGCCTGCAAAGCTATGCTTTTGGAGGCTTTTTCTTTTGTACCAAAAAAAAACTATGCTGACCTTTGCACCAAAAACCTTAACTGGGTCCTGAGGCAGGCGGAGGGGTGAGTAACTTACTTTTCCTGCATGAGCTTTTTCTTCCCCCCTCCCAAATGGTATTGATTTTCCTTCCATCTGTGCTTTATRAAGCTGCATTAGAGCAGTTTGTGCACAGCCGGTGCTGTGTTTGTTGTTGATCTGGACTGCAGTGTTGACAGTCAGACTATAAATAGCACAGCAYCATGTTCTGGTGGGAGCAGCATGGCTGCCACTGTCCCTGTGTCCTGCTTTACCTTGGCATGCAGCAGCTTGGGGGAGTCTTCCAAGGGAACACAGAAACCCCTTCTGCCAGCAGAGATGCTTGACTCTGGGCTCAGGGTTTCACCAAGTTACTTGGGCTTAAAATTCTTGCTTACTGCAGTCAAATAATTATCATCCTTTCCCCCATGTTCCATACACATAACCTCAACCCTGCTAACTTCCCATTCTCAATCCTGGCTTTCCTCTAGCCAGGAGCTGAGCTACTTTAATGCCAGATTCAAYTCTAGGGAAGTTCAAGACTGACRCAGTATGAAGTAAAATTTCTTAACYAAGRYTTCTRTTTTGTTTTACTTGTAGGACAGGAAARGAGGTTTTGTTTTAACAATTGTGTATTTATCTTTCCAGCATAGCTTGAAGGCTAGCTCAGATTATGTGCAATAACTGTTTGAAAAACAGTAGTGGTTAAATGGCTCAAAATTAATAACAGTACCTAATTTATTTCCCATTCCTTTATTTAGGAAGTCAGTGTAAGGACTATCTCCACTAAAAACTAAACATTTTGCTATAGAGGAGCCGGTTTAAAAAGCTTTATTTGCTCTAGTTTCCACCAAGAATAACTGTTAATGTGTTAAGACTTAAACTTTACTCGTGATCTGACTCTATTAACAGTAAGTCTATGCATTCAGAGAAATATTTTTGTATGTTTTATGCAGTTTGATAAACTCTAAGGCACACTAGTTAACTCTTTCTTGTTGGGTTTTTTTCTTTCAACAATAAACTGTTGGAATGACAAGTGAGACTAAGTTTACAAAACTTACAGTTCTTCCAAGGATGACTTTTGTTTGCACTACAAACTTGTACTGAACTGACATTGCTACTCTTCATTTACAATAAAGTATCAGTTGTTTCAAATACCTCGATCTCTTTCTTTTCAGGGTGAGGGGTAGGATGTGGGGGGATCATTCTAGAGTGCACAAGACAATTAAAATTTTAATGCAGCTTTGAAAAAATCATAGGCTAGTACAATTTTAACACCTAACAAAAGACTGTCAGGCTGTCAAAACCAGTATGGAGGAAGCATGTAAGTGCTCACTGAAATCAGCTACYTGCCTTCTGCCTAGCATTCCTAGAAAATCTGGGATGGTATTTATCTCCCRGGCTCGAGCTCTGAAGATGATACCTCTCTCAAAGACGCATCCCTGGAGAGATGTTCATACAGTCAAATGTGGACATAGTTACAAGAAAGGAACTGTGTTTCCTATGCTCTGTGAGCAGATTTTTCCTTCATCTTCAAAGYGTTAAAGACTCCACTATGAGTCACACATCAGAATCTGAATCCCAGGCTAAGCTACTACAAGGTACCTCATTTTACCATTTTAACTTCTGCAAAGTAAGGGGAAATGCAAATCCTGTAACAAATACATGCAGTGGAAGGTGCAAGACAAACATTTTCACCACTGGAAGAAGTAACACACCCAGGCAGAGGCCAAGTCCTGTCTCACAAATTTCAAAGGAAAAGGTCTTCAATTAGAACTCAGCTATAATTTCACTTGCTCCTACTTCTATTTTTTCCAAAAACAYCACCACATCTCTTCTAAATCCCCTATGCCCCTGGACATGTGTCTGCTTTAGAACAATAAATATCAAAAAAGGAACATGGCTGGCTGCATATGGTATCAAAACCCAGGACTAAGCACAGAGGGACCAAGGTACAGATTTCTAAGTGCACTTCACTACACAGACCCCACAAATCAGCACAAGTTACAATGGTGCTCTGTCCATGTCTGACTTTGGTTACATGTACAGTCAAGGCCTGAATACTAATGGCAAGGATAATGCTCTCTTTAAAGAATGTAAATTCACTGCCTTACAGCCACAGCRTTCACTGGTACACACTGCAGTTCTTTTCCAACAAGAACCACTCCTGGAGGCACTACAGCTTCACCGGGAACCATCAGACTGCCTGCCTGTGTGTCTGTTCTGACCAACTGCACATGGTTGTTAATCAATATCCCAAACCAATACTGCAATGAAAATAATGAGGCAGTCTGAATGYCAGTCTCAGCACCGGCATCTCTCTGATAATGCTGTCAAAGCTGAACGGTTTTATAAAGACTTAATACCTACATTTTTATTGCAAGATTTCTGTAACTTCTTAACCAACAGCAGCAAAAGCTGCTTTTTGGGGTATGTTGAACCCAACAGCATCTAACTGCTGAAAAAGTGTGCTTGAAATTAAATCCTGATAGCACCAAAAAACCCCAAACCCACAAACAGCACAGAATAACTAAGCATCCAARTTAATGGACTAAGCTTGAAGACATGAGTCATTTATTAGGAAAGAAACTTACTGAATATTAAACGTTCAATGACAGAGACAATCAAATTTGTAACAGAAATTCAAAGATACTTTATTTCCATTTCTYGTATATCAAGAAGCTAGGAATAGCTTAGTTGTAAAAATGGGATTCATTTTAGTTCRATTCACACAAATACTAAACATTTATCCTTGTGTTTTAAAGTCCAAGAATGAAAACTTGCAATTAAACACTGAGCAAGCCATGTGTTCAGGTTATGTTGGTTTCTTATCTTAAAAAGTCTTAAAGAAAAAAAAAAGTATACAGGACTTATATTCTCAGTAGCGTATGTGCTATTATCAACACATCTTTCTGAACTCTGGGAGGAAACACCAGTCCTGAATTAAATTTTATAAAAAAAATTTCTAACTCAACTTTTATATTTTTCTACGCCACTACAGCTTTCTTTCACCTCATTTTAAAGCAGATCTTCAGTTTAAGCTGTCTTCCACTGTCTTCGCAGACTCTTCACGTAGTAGTCCTATAATGCAAAATTTTGGGAGAACAGACGATTAGACAGCATTAGGTGCATTTTGTTTACCATTCCTATACATTGGCCCAGTTGTTAGCTGTCATCCCAACTCTACAAAAACATCACCATTGAACATGACTGGCTTTAGAAGCAATGATGTAGCATTAATGGTTTAATATCAACATTAAATGTTTAAGAATTCCTAGCATACACAATGCAACTACAGTAACAAATTATGTTGCAAGAAGCTCATTTATCAGCTGTCCTCTCCACTGTTAGTTCCTTATTTCAGGAATACAACTAAAGACCTTCTGTAAGAAAGCTATGTCAAGAGTGGGGAAAAAACTTCAAGTTTTCCTTTCAATATTGTACTGCCTATTGTTTAGCTGCTTCATTTCCCACAAACAGTTTCCAGCATACATTCCTGCCATCAACACTGTCATCATTTGGTGGCATCTGTCTCTGCATTTACATCTACCTTACAAGCCTGTTACCAGCCATTCCACTGCTCTGTGCTATGGCTGACTGCAAAGTCTCCTACACAGTAGGAAATATTAAGCACATACCTCTTAAAGACTTGAATTGCATTGAAAGTAACAAGGCGAATATTATGTAGTGTTTATTGCATTTTAAACTCTTTAAAGATATCTAATTCTGGGCAGCACTGCATCCCTACACACAGTTGAAAGAAAATTCCATTCTGTTAACATCAGATTTACAGTAGTCACACAATACACAAAAAGTCCTTTTCACTAGCTTCAAAATCAAAAACACAACAGTAAGCTTAAAGATTACAGGCAACAGCATTCAAACATGGATGTGGGTAGAGAAAGGAGTACCTGGCATGAGTACCTGCTTAGTTTGACTGAATCCTTGATTTTTAATTTGGCTTTTCATGGGCCGCTCACAACACCAACGCTGTGTGAGGTATGGTAGTCAGCTGCAATAATTCATAAACCCTACACTTCCATCAATCCAATGCTACTGGCTCTCGAGTTACAGAACAAACTGCATTAGAATGCAAGGCAATAAAGCAAAAAAACTAGAAACATCCTTGACAAAGAAATACTAGCAGTTTATATGAAAACAAAGTAGTCCAACATGTGCCTCAAATATTAAGTATTTAAGCAAAAGTTTCTGCTGAAGTACCAACACAATATGGACTTAAATACAAAAACAGTTCAACTTTTTTAAAAAAACGATAACAAAATCCCTAAAAATAAAAAAAGGATAATTAATTTTTCTATGGTGACTATATTACAAATATGTCCCAAAGAGGCACACTAATGGGGGCACAAGTCTGCTACAAAATAGCTGAGACAAAACGATGTACCTCAAAATGTTTTGCAGGACTACACTGTCATTTCCTTCAGAAGTTGCTTTAGTTTGTCTTCTTACTTGACTTAGTTCCATCTTCATCTGTGCATACTTACGCTGCACTGTTAAACAGTAACAAAAAGCCCTAATCAAAGTTTGAAATAATGCACTTACCTCTGTCTGATCTGAGGTCATATCAGATCAGTTTTAATTGGACTGAGTGTCACCTTCAGATTTTATGTCTTCRTTGGTCCCATTGACCTCATTCTTAGTCTCACTCTCCTTCGAGTCTGTATTTGTGTCTTCACTCTGTTTTTCTCGACTACTGGACTTCACACTACTTTTTTTATCATCAGATCCCCTCTTTTCTGCCATGAAAGAAGACATTGACCATGGATTTCAAAGTAAAAACAAACATTGCACATGTGAGATATATATTGCATACAAAATGGCACAATTATTTTCTACAGCAATAATACTCAAAAAGTTACAGAAATAGGCTTCAGACTAYCATGCTGGAATGGAGAGGGGACAAAATAAAGGTAAAAGGGGACAGTACAGGGTGGGGAAGACAGGAAAGTTCAGACCTCCTAACAGAGGCAGCTCTCTGTCAAAATACACAAACTGGGGGTAAAGAAGTTAAGCAAATATGTAATTATGGTGCATGGCTTCCTTACTTATCATGGGACACTTCTGGTCCCTAAGTTTTGATTTCTGATATGTGGCCTGCTCTGATTTACAACTCTCATTAATTATGGTTCTTGAAAGAGAATCAGAAAAGAGTGGTGGGCCAAGCTTGACTGCATTATCCAAGAAATTGATACTTGCCAATTAAAAACTAGTAATCCCTAACWATCAAATACTTGGGGAAACAATATTAAGCACTGACAGCTTTGAAGATGGGAATCACAACGACAATCAAAATTAAATTTGAAGCTGCACATTTGTCAGCACTGTTAATTCTCAATTTCATAAAAACAGCAGTCATTTATAAACAACWCATTAAAAGGGCTCAGAGAGACAGCTTGGAAGACATAAAAAGCACTTTTTTCAAYGGCAAAGAAATAGCAAGATGTGGGGGAAGGAGCCCACAATTTCATCATGAATTGGGAAGCTCACTGAAGCATTTGCTACTCTAAAAACTCAATAATCTTCAAAGAAGGAAGGAAGCCAGAAGTAAAAATATTTCCATGGGAAGAAAAACATTCAATATTAGAGCTGCATGCCTCATCTGTAAATTCAGTATTTGCAAATTTAATAAAAATACCAATTCTTGCTGTATTATTTCACACCATAATATTCAACCCTTGATCAGTAAGGACACTTTGGAGAGAAAAAAAAATCCAAAAAACCAACCTCTCAGATGTCATCATACAGAACAACATTCATGCTCTTTTTTCTGATTATTCCCTGCTATCCGGGCAATCAAAATAAATAATATAAATAGATAGATATATCCCCAACACAGCAGCACACAGATCGAACACTCTGAAAAAGCTATTTTAAATAATGTTATCACCTAGACTGGCATAACACACTTTTATATTCCAGGAGACAAAGCAAGAAATTAAGCTTTAAAAGAGCAGCAACATCCCAACTTCTGTGTTTTAAAACACACTACCAAAGGATGGGGTAAAGCCCCCACACAGAGAAATGAGGGCAACTGCCTAATGACCACCAGTAGTGAGGATTCACCTGCAGCAGCACATCCAGTGCAGGGCGCTGGGAGAAAGCACACGGCAACGTCACCCAGCTCACTGAAGGACTAAGTCAGTCTGGGTCTGTCTGCCCTCGGTTTGGCAACTCCGCAGGTAGATTGCACTCTAACTAACCTTGTTAAAAAGTCTTCTTTTTGTGTCTTAAAGGTATCTCCGGTGCACACGTGGATCCACTGAGGAATAGTAGTCTTGTTTCCCCGCAGAGGACTAGTAGTCAGTCCAATAATCTTATCTTCTGTCCTATGTAGATATGGTAGATCTTAATAGCCCTATGGATGTGCAGTGTGCAGGGTTTTGTTCTGTCTTGTTTGTGTCTTGAATGTGGTCAGGAAGGATAATTTTGTTTAAGGTTAAAAAAACTATTAAACTGTGGTATGTAAGATCGAACTCTTCTAAAAATTTTAGCAATAAAATAGGTTTACCATAGCAAACCTCCAGTTTGCCAAGGAGAACTGAAAAAGTGTATTCAACAAATAGTCCATTAACTGAACTGAAATTTCAAACCCTGGAGTATCTGCAAGAAATTATGTTCCTYCACTGTATTTTTAATCAGAAGGAGTTCTCTCTTCAAAAGCACATACAACCAGTTTGTTGTTGAAACTGAGTGTATTATTTCAGCTGTGATCTATTAGGTATAATCACATAATATTGACTTTGCTTCCTGATTAAACACATGCACATTTTTCTGTTTGAGTTTGTGTGGGCAACTGAGATGGATTTGTGAGAATTCTTACCATGACAAAGTGGATCATTTTACTGTTCAGAAAATGCAAAATCAGTCAAACACAATATCCACTATTACTGAGGTGTTCTGGAGTATTTGCTGAGGTTTATCACTAACATTAAAACATGATCGTAATTATTTTTATAAAAGTATCAGAATCCAGATTAGGGAAGGTAGAGAGCCAAGCTACAGTGGTCTASAGGCCCATTCCAGTACTAACCCTTCATAAAATGAAGGTACACCAAGAACGATTCCCCTTTTACTAAGACCCCCTATTTATTCCATCTGCTCTGAAGTTTGTTTACTTGAAGAGTAGCTGCATTCTACTGGTTTATATTAAGCTAATGCTCAGCTGGTGTTTATGGCTGGTGGCTCCTTCCTTAGCAAARGTATCCCTGTCCCTGAAACTTGAGTCACAAAGTGCCCCTATTTCTACACATACGTTTTTTCTTACTACCTTGGTTACTGTCTTCTACAGAATTTTAGTGAACAAGAAGCCAGGACTTCTGTTTCAGTGTGGCACTATTTAAAATGTACTTATATGCAAGTTTTGGGCAACTGCACCTTGGGGTTTTTTTTGGGTTAATATTCATGTTTATAAAGCAGTCTGAGATTTCCAGATGAAAGCCACTACCATAAGCAGTTACAGCCAGGCCTTCATCCTTCACTGCTTACTTTTGCAACTGCCRATCAGCAGTGACTATAAAGACAAGTAGATTCTGAAGCCAAGATTCCCAGTGCAGTAAGTTAAGATTTAACTTCTAAGTCACTACTGTGCAAAAGCCACACACTTCAAATGTATGAATCTCTAAAGCTCTCTATTGAACTACCTAACTACAGTGCCACACTGCAAGTATGCAATGGTGCTTACAGCTTCAGCACAGAAATTCAATTTGCTTATTAACTATTACTGGGTTTGTTTTTTTTCCTGCCTTCCCCTCCTCTTTTATATTTCTTGTCTGTTAAAATATTTCCCCAACAAAGGGAAAACCACAACTTCTTCAGCATTACAGTCCTGCTCTAAGGCCTATTTGTGTTATTACAAATGTTAGGACAGCACAGTCAAAAAAAGTAATTGATTTTCCCAGGTGGGATTTTCACTGCAGCTCATAGCATCACCTCACTGTTCTCATTTCTGGTGGAAGAAAGTAGCAAGCAGCAAATAAAACAGCCAGTAWGGAAATCAGTCAAGTTAAAACTAAAAATACTTGAGATGCTGAAGAAAGTTCACTAGCTCCTCTATTTATGGGAAGATTAAGGAAAGAACTGAAAAGCTCAAAACCAGATCAAATTTGAATAAATAAGAAAACAGTTATTTATATGCATAGATACACACATTCAGAAGAACAGGACATTCTTCACCAAGTAYCAGAAATCTGTTCATAAAGCAGGCAAAAAAGGCACAGTATCAGACAGGAATAGTAACAAATGGACAGATACAGGCTACAACACTGAATCTGAGTTTAAAGCCTGCACATCAGTTCCACTGCCAACAAGCAAGCAGCAAAACCCACTCTCTTACAGGGCAAAGGAAAATGAGAGAAGAATCAATACTAAAGGTGCCCCACAGTATAAACCAGAATAATTGAAACAGTTCAAGGAAGTCAGGGAAGAGAAATACATGAAACATTACCAACATTTTGGCAACCAATCCGCTGGATAAATATGGAGAAGGGTCAAGCAGACAGGCCTATGCAACCCAGAAACATGCACAGAGCACCTTTCATTCCAGAGAACCTCAAAAGTACCTTAGAAACACAATTGTTTCATCCATTACTGATGATCAGCCCATGAAGTGGGGTGGCTGTTTCGGACTGGACATTAGTCAGCTCCCCACCAGAGCCAGAAGTATTACGTTCCTCCCGAAGTTTCAAAAGACTTTTAAAGGGGGAAATTTAGCAATAACAGTGAATTAGTATCTTCTCACAAAATRTGGATCTGCAGTGTTCTCACTGTAGCTCTTTGTAATCCTACTTAAAGAAAAGTTTCTGAGCTCCARCCTCTGGTGAAGCAGTGAGTCACCATCAGTGCTGTGGTACATGGCATAAACAGCTATAAAAGAATTCCATGGACTAACACAGCTTTCTGTTGAGACTCACTTGAATTCTGACAAAGCAAAACTCACTTCATTTAAACAACAAACAAAACCAAACCAAAAAATAAAGGAGAAAGGTGGGGGGAATAGCAGGAGAATGGGGAGAAGGCATGAATTGTCATTTAGAGCATTAGAGAGATTATGTAGTATTTATCTTGGATTGCATTTACAGATTGGGAAAAAATGTAAAAGCACTGTTAAAAAGGTAATAAAGGAAAYATGATAAAGCTGAGAAGTAATAGATGATACAGGTGAGAAGCCAGGTACCAATCTCCCATAAAACATGTACCTGCAAAGGGTAATTGCAAATATCCCATAAGGATAGGAACAGAAGACTTTCACTCTTAGGAAATGATGATTACAGGTAAATAGGTCTTAAAATACATAAAAATCCTTGCCCACTTCATCTGCAGACAAAGGGCAACAGGTAAGAGAAGGACAATGGGTGTACATATGCACACGTGCAATAACTGGAAAGAACAAAATGCGTCAAATTGGTWACAGCAACACACACAGCTCATAAAACCAGGCCTGATTTGGTACTAAGAACTTTCAGTCACTCACTGAAAGGCTAAGAGCTTTTGAGACTTAGCTAAGGAAAGATTAGTTTCAGACTTGCTAGGAACTCAGTCTTTACACAAACATACCTTTTTCTTTTGATTTCCTGTCTTGCTCTCTCTCTCTGCTTTTGCTTCTGTGCTTGTAGGATTTCCGATCCCGGCTTTTTGACCGTCTCCTGTCCCTACTACGAGACCTATGTTTCCTTTCTGATCTATCGTGGCTTCTGCTTCTTCTCCGGTCACGACTCCTTAACATTCAGAGATAATTTCAAAAATGTAAATCTCAGCTGTTATTTTCTAACTCAGAATATAACATAGTAAAGCAGTAGCCCTTTCTAATACACTGATTATCTGCAAAAAACAAATTTTAACATATTATATATAAATATTTATCAGTACATAAGACCTGGCTTCATATTGCCCTCTTCATTTATTTGAACATTTAACATACAGGTTAAAAATTTCTCCCACCATGAAATAAATACTACCTGAAGGAAGAAACAAGACCCTGTTCTTTGGGAGCATGTCTACTGAAAGGTCCTCATAAAACCAGTTCCACCATAATGGTGCCATCTTCCAAAAATGGAAAGATAGTGAACACTCAGCAAAAACCAGCTTATCCTTAGAACCAGTAAAGAGTCTTTACTTTAGAGATAATATCTAAGTGAAGTTAACAAATCAGTGATGTGGCTCAGGCTGACAGATCAAGTCCCCACGAGATTTTTACCTTCTGGCAASTTACATGAAAATGCTTAGAAGACACAYASACAGACACATGCATACCTGCTTCGCCTTCKTTCTCTGCTTCTTGACCTTTTGTGGTCTCGCGAGCGGCTGCACCTCCTGTCAGATGTCCTGCTCGAGTGCCTGCTCCGTGAGCGGCTCCTTTTACGCCTCTCTCTGTCACGAGCCCTCTCTTTTTCCTTTTCTTCCTCTTCACGCCGTCTCTTCCTTTCCCGCTCTTCTCTTTCCCGTTCCCTCTCTTTCTCCCTCTCTTCCCGTTCTAGCTTCTCTTTTTTCAACCTTTCATCACGGTCAGGCTCTTCTGTTCTTTTTCGTAACTTTTCCTTGAAAAACAAGTTCACAGGAAGAAATGAAGATTACTCAAGACAAATCATTAGGTATACTTCAGCTTACAGATTCTGAGGATGTAAAAGCCTAAGCTTTCAAACTATTTCAGTGTTATTTTCCAAACAAAGAACAGCACTTCCTAAAATCCCCTAAACAAGCATCCTTTGTCTTGTATAACKTTTTTATGCTTGTCACTCTCACAAGATCAGAGGCCACACTAYAGCACTTTATAAAAGCCCTAAAAATTCCCACCTGAATTGACATCTTTGCCCATATCTAATGTAACCACAACAAAGCACATCAGTAAAAGCACAGTGCTTAATGTGCAGTGCAGGATTCCATTCTTTGGAGTGTTTCACCCTCTTGAGAAAATCCACTGGACAGCCTTTTATGTACCATAGGAAGCCTCTAAGCAATTTTATCATGTTCAATAAAAGGAGGAAGCACTTACTTTTAAATCTTCTACAGTAGCTTTTATTTTGGCATAACCCATGTGCTGYTTTCCCATCAAGTGGTCATCTACCCTGGACTGTGCATCTCCTACAATTAAAAAGGCGCCACAAACTTCRCAAACTTCCATTTGCTTTTCTTGGGCTGCAAAGCTCTCAATTGTCTGAAAAAAAGAAAAATATTCATAAGGCAAAAGAAAAGTTTTAGCCAGAAGTCAGTGAAGAGGTTTAGAACTCTATGTTACAGTTTTCAAACCYCAGGCTTTRAAATCAMATCTGCCTGCTTAGTCTCTGGAGCACTGCACCCACCAGAGTAAAGAGGGAGAAGAGGCCACCTATGCCCACTCCCACAAGGAAGGAATCCTTGAGAAACCACAGAATCATTCCTCAGTGTAATAACATGTACATAGCCATATCTGCAGCTTCCTCACAATATAAGAAAAACTAAACATTTGAAGTTTTTTTTAAAGATTTTTTTTCAGTTTTAAGATKATTTCTTTGGCATCTACTGAAAGGTCAGGAGCTGCAGAACAACCACGGCCTATATCTCAAGGAATCAAAAGGCTAGAATATTCCACAAAGAAAAAGAAATACTGGCTTCTATTTAAAAATATGGTGGTCAAATTAAACCAATGTTTTAACAGACATATGAGAGATACACTGAAATTTCAACATAAACCCAGGTGATTATTGCTGTGCAATGTCCATGAATCATATAGTATGGACATAAACCTACTGTCTGCAACATTTAAGAGCTCCTAAAAAGCAAAACAAGAATCTCAATTTGAACATTTCATTAAACACCAAAATAAAAAAAAAAAATATTTATAAACTTAAGCTCCTTTTTACTGTACTTAASACATTCCCTCTGGCTTCTGCAGCTCCCAGAATCAGACAGATGCCTGTCTCTAGTCACAGCCCTGACTCAAGGGCTTTCTGTAACAGTCACACTGGTAGTTCATGAAATTTTATTGCAGAGGCTACAGGACAAAGTTTAACTGAGATCTGAACTAGATTAAGGTGCAAGCTGTCCTCTGGGACTGCTGGGTAAATAATATCATAATTTCTGTGCAGGAAGCCCACCCTCAAGGCAGAATGCTGAATCCACACGGTGGTTAAACACATTCCAGTATCCTATTCGTCTCTAATAAATTCTGCACAGACCTTGCATGCCTTCAGTGGAAGGACAAGGTTACTCAGAACACACTGTGCCCCAAATTTTGAAATGTCTCACAGAACAAACACATTACTTACTGAAGTTGTAGACCTCAGCAATTCTCTCTCTTCCTTTAACTGTTCAACAAGTTTCATCATTCCTTGTGCCTCTTCCACCTTTCCTTCTGAACCTAGTTCTTCAATCTAAAAGGCAATTAAAAAATTAAAGTATCATTTCTGACCAAGTAACAAGAGCAAGAGATCTCTCTTATAGGAGTTAAAACCCCTCACCTGTTGAAGTAGTACATCAATTTTGTCAGTTAACACCTGAATCTTCTCTTCATTTTTACCGGTAGGTCCTGCTCCCTGCAAACAAAACAAGAGTGAGTTGTTTTTTTTTTTTCTTTGCTTGTTTCTTTTTTCATCTTTTGTTAAAATAGCTTAAACACACAAATGTATGTCTTCTCATATTCCAGACACACTTTGGGAATAACTTCCCCCGTCCTCTTCTCCCACAAGAAGCTACTATTAATAGTCTAGTCTAACATAAAACACTCCTCGATTTACTCCACCCTTGTTGAGTCTAGTCACACTAATTCTTCCCAAATCAACAAAAATGTTCAAGGTCCTGGCCCATAAAAGGTAAGAAACTGAATTCAAAGTCCTAAATTTAAACTCTGACACTTCCATGCACCTATTACATATCTTCACAGACATTCAAGTATGACTTAGAAGTTCGGCAGGCTTTGAAATTCAACTTCTGAGCACAAAATGCAAAAAGAATMTCAGTTCAAAGATGCATTTGTTAGCAGTGTCCTCTCTGCAGGCTGCCAGAACAGACTGATTGTCTCCCTCCCACCTTTGCTAAGCTCCACAAGTGATTATCTCCCTTGACTGGATAYTGTCCATAGCTCCTTCTGAAGCAACTGGACTTTGTACAGAACAGTGAGGTGGGGCAGCAGAAAGGAGCAAGGCTGTCCTGGCAGTCACTAAACTCACAGAGCACAGGCTGCAGGCACTGCTCCAAATCCATCTGGGGACAAGATACAGCTTGCTAGCGCAAGGAGGGAGGAATATGCAACCAATGGAGACAAGGTAAACTTGGGTTGTCAGGGCAAAGACAACACTTGACAGGGAGAGAACAGATACTCATTCTGAGGAAACAGAGATGSTGAGAACACAAAGRGGTCTTGCTGACTGTGGAGCCACTKGGCTCATCCATTAGGGCCAGATGCATCTGCTGGCTAACAGATGAAAAAACTTAATTTAACAGGMATCTTCTGCATAACAGTAAGTTTCACCTGAATAGATAAGGTCAAGAGACCCCTGAAGATGCTATCTACAGGCAAAGCTGCTCAATGACTCACTGTTGCACTTACCCCAGAAGACTGCTGGTTCTGTGACAGTGCCAAACGAGCATGGCCCCTCCGGATCCTGCGCTCCACCTCCGCAAGCAAACTCTGCAAATAGCGCAGGAAGTCTCTCTCATAGCCCACCTTCATAAACCGAGAGCTCTTCTCATACCTGAGAAAAGGTTTTAAAAATGAAACTTCACATCAATCCATAAGAGAAGAAAAGTAAGCAACAAAAACCACACAATATTATAAATTCTTGCTCACAATAAGAGAATATTACGCATTTAAATAAGTGTTTACGTAAATAAAACAACAGTTAATTTGTCATGTTTGGGTTGCTATTAACAAATTTCAAAGATACCAGAAACTCTATTTGCTTAAACATATCAAACAACAAACTTACTGTTTGCGTAGATTTTCATCGTGGATTTTTTCACAAGGACCTAGGAAGACAATACAAACAGTTTAAGTTTGCATTCCCAAATGTTGTATTCATATTTCACCAGCATTTGTTTRTGAACCATGATAGAACAGGGCTATAAACATTTCACAAGAACTTTTATGCTTCTGCCTTTCTGCTTCCTTTGCTTGGAGCTTGAAAGATACATTAAAGAATGCCAGTATCATTAAATAATTATAAAGCCAAAAAAGACTCTACATACAAAGTCTTCATATGAAATAGAATTTCCAGATCAAGTTTTACATCAGTAAAGCTAAACAAAATGTAACGTTTTAAACACCTGCAGTCTTTAAAAAAAAGGAAGAAAAAAAAAAAGAAAAATTAAACATAAAGGGTAATTTCATTAGGCACTTCCTGACTTCCAGTGTTCTTTGCAAAACACTGGCTACTTAAAACACTGATCTTCAGAGTAAAATTAGGAGGTATGTGCCCATAGTTCATAAAGACTCTCAAACTCTTCAACTAAGAAATTACCACTAGGACAAAAAGTCTGGTTTTGCTAAGTTACCATCTCCAGACTACATGCTGTCCACTAAACATCTCTTGAAAGGTATCAGTAATTTAGAGCTGGTCTTCAGAATAACTGTTACAGTGAGTGAGTCCCTAAAGTAATGCAGCTCAATAATGCACACGCACATAAAAATAGGTTAAAACCCTGCCCAGGTAGAATAACTCAAACTAGAAACCAACACTTGTGCAGGARAAAAGTATCCCACACCCAGTAATTTACCTTACACTGCCAAGAAAAAGTTTTAAGAAGTTTTTTCACTTAAGACAAAGTAGAATCTGGAACAAATATTACTTTACTGTAAATAAATATTACTWTTACTGTATCACTGGTAACCCTTGAATTGAAAAAACAAAAAATTTTCAAGTGTTTTGACAGAGCAATTAACAATAAAAATACAGTTTGCAAACAGAAGCTCAACTGTAATTACTTAGAAGTGAATAAAAATGTCAAGARTTATAAACTTACCTAAATCAGAACGGGTATTTGTAAATAATTCAGCTGGGCAAAAGCCACAAAGGTAGTATTTGCAAACCTGACAGAGAAGAAAGAAACAGGCATCATTTTGTGCTTCTTGAATTGAAAATTTTATGTAATCGCTTCTGTTTCTCAAATACAGTGATAAAGATTCCTCTGAACATGATAACATTTCTAAAAATTTGACACACCCTCTATCTTGGCAGCAGTAAGTGCTACRAAGTGCATCTTGATGACAAACCATCAAAAATCGCCCTTTCCAYTGCAATAGTATTATTTCTTAATTTTACTACTATGTATTTAAGATTACAGGAAAGCATCATCAATTCATACACATTTGRTATGTCCAAAGGAATGAGATCAGAYKGGGCTATTTAGTAAGTATCAGTGTAATTCTTTAACTGTGAAAAGCTACAAGAGATGAGCAGGACTGCCATGGAAGCATGGAACAAGTTCCTCTGATTGCCTGCAACAACTTTATGTTGAGCCTTCACCTCCTCAGAGCTACTGGTCCAGAGAACTGGAACCACCTGCACTCAAACATCAGGTTCTGCCCCAAGGACTTTGGTGGCAATTACAAGACGAAGAACTATCCAGATGCTTTCCCACTCCAAAGCTTTTAAAACTCCCTACTTTAAGAATGACAGGCAAAGACACTTTACATTGCTCTTCAGGCAGAGAAGACATTATTTTAACCTGGCTCCTTGCCAACTAAAGAGGGTTTGGTTTGTTTCCAAATAGTCTCGTTTTAAATTATTGAGTCAGGTTATTTTTATGATAACAGAAACAACCACCAGAAAGTAAAAAAACCCAACATGTTAGTTTAGTCAGTAAATACTTAACAYACAATGTGATAAAAACAGCTGTTTTTAAAAGTTTAWGCMCSTKCWCMYRKGWGMASGKGCWTAGCTAGTCAAGTTGGTTGGTTCCTGAAGTTCATGACACAAACATCTCCTAYGTAACTATCAAAACAGCCAGAAGGATAAAATCAGAAACACTTGAACCCCTAACTTTCATAAACAATCTTAAATAATTAACTTTTCACTAGACCCTTCCCATAGATGTGACTGCCTGGACATTCTACCACACCCCCTCTATATTATATGCGTTTCTAATATTTGGCAAATCTAATAACTGTGTCTGCATTACAGCCTAGTTCCAAACCTCTCACACATCCTGTGCACAAAGACGAGCCGTGTCTTATCTCCCAAGATACAACTTGAAGTATTTTAACAAATGGGGTGAGGAGAGAGACCCCAGCCACCACCTCCTAACTGAATTGCCTGTGACAGCTGTTGATCAAATTAGATCAGCCTGATTTATTTTTCCAAGCTAACTGCCAGACTGCAAAGCAGGCTACAAAGTTAAAACTCTACTGACTGCTTTACAGATTATTCAGAAAAACAATCAGGCCTTATATTAACAAGCCGTGGACAAGAAACACAAACAAACMAATCTCTTATTATGTAATTTGAATACTTCTCYCATGATCCAGGTTTGGACACTGGCACCTAGCTGAAGCAATTTACCAAGAATAGTTAGGAAAACATGTGAAATGGCAATTTTTCTTTTCTTGTCAGAAGCAAGGGGAAAGTTACTGGACAAAATCTGGTTTCAGAATCTGCTCTTCTCTGAAAGCTGTAATATCCCTTGTTTYTCTATGAAGTTGTATCAAAGGGGCAGTTTCTGGGATGGACTCCAGTACCAGTCCATAGAAATGTAATTTCTCTATACATTCTCTTTTTCTTCCATTTTCTCATACAGGTATCAGGATTAGTGAAAAGGCCCTAAAAAATTCAGAGATGGATTAAACAATTTTCTAAGAGACAGAGAGACAATAGTAACAGTCTGACCATATTATGCTGTTAAAAGTCGGAGAATATCTTCTATCATGCAAAAATTARGCAACCTGGCCTGTAACAGTTTAGAAACTAATAGTAACAAAAGAAGCAAAGTAATTAAAAGTATGTTGAACAAAACAAAACACAAACACACAACCTCACTGAAAACCAGWAAGATTACAATTATTATGRAACAGCACTACTAGGAAAATCCTCKTATGAACTGAYGGTTATAGGCAAAAGTTGCAGTAACCAATACTAAAATAKGAGGTTTAACACATCACACACCACATTAATTATTTATATATTAAAACCCCCAGACAAACACAAGCCTAATCAATCAATCAAACAAATAAAATGACAAAACAAAACAATGACAAAATCCTCACACACCAAAAAGCTGCCAAAATTTTATCCTGCCATCTCTAGATGCTGCCACTCTGGCACTAGGATGGCACCCAGTGAATTATTGGACAATTCTGTCCTAGGAAGCATCCTGCAGAGAAATACTTCAGAGGGGTTCAGACCACTGCGGCTGAACCAGTTTTCTTCCCCTCTCATACCTATTTCATTATGCTCTTCAACTGAGTTTGCTTCAACRGAAAATACAACTTGCTGGAATCCTGCAGAAACTCGCAGGTATCATTCCAGCTCAGCTTCAGAGTGCAACATCTGCCTGCCCAGACTGAACATCAACTGTACTTCCAGTCAATCTGAATTAATGCTGAGTGAGAAGAGAAAGGGTCAAGGAATGGCTGAAGCATCACGGAGCCATTAAAGGACTGAAACAGAGGAGACTGATAAGCTTCAACTGGCATCACTCATCCATAGTTTATCAGGCCGCTGCACTAATCACAAATAATATGGAAACACATTCCATAAGTGCAGGAACAGACCAACTGGCAGTTTGGTAGCGATAACTCCCAAGGAAGGTAACAGGCATTTACTCCTTTCTGCAGAATTATTCTGATAACTCTGCTACCGAGAAGGTGCAACAGAGAAGTGTCACTGTCAAACTGTTGCTGCAGTATCAGCCACAGCTTGTGTCTCAAAGCCCCTGAGGTCTCATTTTGACAAGACACTAGAACAAACAGAGACACTTGGAATTTTCCATTTCTTCATCACAAATTTACTAATCCTTGACATCTCTTGGAGGTGGGGAAGTGGCATCCTTTAGATCCAAGTCCACTAATTTAACAGGAAGAATTACAAGCTCTTCTGGAGTTTGGGAAACAGTTCAAAGTCTTCCCATATAAAGGAGCTATTGACAGCTCTATATCATTAATCCTTCTACATTAACATGTTTCTCTTCTGCAAGGTATTTGTTTACTGATGGAGAAGCATCTAACAGTAAATAACAATTACGTAAGCAAATTCCTTTAGGCAGACAATTCCTAGTGAAAAGGCTTAGAATAAAATCCTGTAGATTGTGGCATACACATCAAAAACTTATAAATTCCTTCTCTAGTTGGGTTCTTTGAACCCATTAAAGCTCACATGCAGCAGACATTTTATGAGCAATGCCCGCCCACCCAAACCCAAACAAACATCAGCCCTTCTCCCAAACCCACTCTTAAAGACAAATGTTATTTGTTTTGGAAGAGTATTAGTAATGGAACGTTAAGTCCTCTCCCCTTGTCCCCTGGAGGATTAAGTCCTTAAATTCTACCTAGATGCAAAGCAATGTAGGTCACTGGCATAATAAAAATAAAAGTGCAACACATCATAAATAGCTAAAACCATCACATCATACTCTGAATACAGAACCTACATTCTGAGCAACTGCATGATCAGAAACAATTGCTTGCAGTCATTTGTCCCTAACAGCTCTTCACCCCTCTCTGATTTCTGAAAACCCTGAATTTGCCTTGAAGACACATAACAATTTCAAATTTTGCAGGAGCACGGGCAGCCCATGCTGGGCTGTCCTGTGCTCCAGAACAGCCTCAGAATTCTTATGCAATCGCTGCTTCTGTAAGAACTTGCTTTGTGCAGGTGGCATATTAAAGCAGGAAGGTGCGAATCAATAAAGGGACTGTTCCAGAAACATACTTAGTCTGCAAATATGACAGTAAGCAGAAAGACTAAAATATATGATACTAATAATTTCCTCCTGCACACAAAACAAACCCTTTATGCCAAAACCAGGACTGATCACCCATGGACATGCCATAATGCTGACATATACACCAAGTGGGATTACGATCTTTAAAGATTAAAAGTTTTAATCATGTCAAAGTTTTAAAGTAAGAACTTCAGCTCTACAAAAGGTTTTACAATACATGATCRATATGTTTCACTGGCACTGCAAATAAATCACACACTGAGCTATCACACASTGCTTCCACACCTTCCACTTCCACTCCCATCCTGTATTTCACTTTCCAGTTCCTGATAGCCACATGGATACAACTTCCAAATGATAAACAAAATACAGATGAGCTTCTTGTGAGAATCTTCCACATCCAAAACTGATGAAATGTGACACAAAATCCTAAACTTTGGGATCAACACAACATGCTGACACTGAGCAGGCTGCATCTTGATCTATGTCTAATTTTAGAAGAAATTATATTAGCACACGTATTTCACCTGGAAACCAGAAAAGCAGTCAAGCAGTGCGACTATCCGTACCTTATTTGCATTTCCTGTCTTTTAAAACATTCAATGTCACCATTGCAAATTTAATCTTTAGGTTATGAGGAAAGTCAAACTGAAACACATGTTTAAAAGCAGTAATTTTCGTTTTTTATAAACTCATCAGTTGACTATAGAAACTTAGGGAAACATTTCTTGCAGGAAGGTTGCWTTTAGTAATAAATAAAAGCAGAAGCAAATAGCAGCAGTTCCTGCAGGACTGAAGGTTCAACCCTAAACCTGTAGCTTTCCCAGTGCTCTCAGACACAGGACAGCTCTCACTTTCCCAGCTGTCAGAGGACTGSGAAGGAGAGACAAAGCCTGGTTTCTACAACAACAAAACTGAACAGCTTAGAGACAGAGTCCTTTCGTTATAGTCAAATCCTTCAGCCTAAAGTTGTAAGCGAAAAAAAAAGGAAAATATTCTGTAATTCGCTCATCTGAAGATGAAGAAAATAATCCTAACTTTTTAACAGTGAATGAGGGCAGAAAAATTTAAAAWCTAAGAAAAAAGTCTTTCTCACTTTAACGAATAAATCAAACCAATCCCCTTATGTGTCCTATCTGGACCAACACCATGGCTCAAGCCATTCAMTTTGTATTTCCTAAGTTTCATATAACTCCTCCATATTTTGAGTTCACAATTGAAGAGAAATATTTAATACCAAATTGAGTACCAAACTTGAATAATGGTACTTTCTTAATAAAATAAGTCTAGAACTACATAAAGGTGGTAATGAAAACCTCCTGAATTCACAATATCATCCTGACAAAGCACTGTTTATCTGTAAAGCAGCATTTTTCATAGGAGCAAATTGTTCCTCACATTGGCAAAATCTAAGGCAAGAGAGGTAATGGTCCTTATCTCATGCAAATTCAACCAATTCAAATAAGTATTATCCTCCTTTATAATGACCWAACTCCCATATAAAAATATGAAATCGCCTCTTTGATTAAGATTCAATCTAGAACAGCCAAACCCAAGCACTTCTCCCTCCTCCCAATTTAAGAATATCTCAAGCAAGTGTTAAAGGGGGAGGAGCCAAATGCTTTGTAACGCTTAAACCAGAGAAGTTCCTGTCACATAGGTGATAAATTACTGTGACACTTCCWTTTAACATGTGCCACAACTCAAATAACACATAATGAATGGAGAAAAAACAAAGTATAAGAATTCATCAGTGTTCATCTGTCCCAAACCAGCAACTGTTATAAACTTTGTAGCTACCACTTCGTTTTCCTGAAATCACTTACAATTCGACTATTATGGCCGAAAGTAAGTCATCATTCGAGTTCAACCAGTGGAGAACTCGAGCTTCAAAGTAATAATAATAATAATAGTWATAACAACAACAACAATTATAATAATAATAATACAGACGTCTTGTTTGGGCTACTCATTGCAGAAAATGAATGAACATCATATTAACGAAAGTACGCAGGTACAGCTAAACAACGGTCTTACTTAGGTTAKTATCCCCCTCCCAARGAGATTCCTCTGAATGAGGAAAAARGAAAAGAATCAAGCTTTTCCTAACCAAATCCTCAGTTTCAAAAGTCGTATGGTTTTTCYTTGTAGTACAACCTGCAGACACTGAAGTCGGTACGCGTGCCCTTCTATTTCCTCCCCAAACACCACCCTCAGGAAGAGATCCAGAGACATTTATCTTCCTAACTAGAACATCTGTCTCGTCCCGCTTGGTGCAAGCCAGCAGCTTCTACTCCAAAGTGCTGAATTCCTTTAACCCCGCTGCCTCCCCGCCTTGTTTCTGTGTTACCCTGCGGGAGATCTCCGCCACCACCGGCCCTCTGGAAACCCCCGTTCCCGTTAACGGCAGCCCTGGCGGGCACAGCCTGCCTCGGCCGACACCCAAACAGCGGGGCTGTCCCTCCTGCAGCCCAACAACAGCCCGGCTGTGTCGGGATCCTCCTCCTCTTTCTCGGCGAGGGYTCGGCGCGGTTCCCGCGCACGGCCGGGCTCGGCCCGCCCCAGGCCGCCATGCAGGGCCCGGCAAGGAGGGCCCGGCCCGCACCCGACAAACCACGCGGAACCCCCCGCCCYGGCCGGCACCTCACCCCTTCCCCTTTCCCCCTTCCCCGCGGTTGTCCCCGGCCAGGAGAAGCCGCCCAYGTCGCTCCGACGAACCCCCGGCCCCACGCAGTGTGGGAGAGCCGCGAAGAAGGRAGGAGAGAGGCGGCCCCGCTGCACTCACGCTCTCGTGGTCCCACCGCACGTTGCTGCGCTTTTCATCCGGGGCCAGGTTCCTGTCCCGGCCCATGAGCTCATCGAGGAGCTGGGCGGCCGATATCATCTTGAGCTGCGGGCCGAATCCCCCTCGCCAGACACCGGTTCGGCCGCCTCGCCCCGACTGCCCGCGCCGCGCCTGACAGAGACAAAATGGCGGCGGCGCTGGCCCTGCCCACAATGCACCGCGCGGGCCGGGCCCGCCGCGCTCCGCTCCCGCTCCTGCTCCGATCCCTCACGGCCCCGCGGTGCGGCCCAGAACGGGCACGAAGGGCTAGTTCTGGCTCGTACCGCAACGGGGAACCGCCACTGAAACCGCGCCTGAGGGGCGGCGGGGGCCACACGGTGCTGCCCACCCTGGTGAAGTGTCATGGCAAACCATGTCCGCCCCACTGAGGGGTCATGGCAAACCGTGTTCACCCTGGTGAGGTGTCATGGCAAACCATGTCCGCCCCACTGAGGTGTCATGGATCATGGCAAACCGTGTCCGCCCCACTGAGGTGTCATGGCAAACCGTGCCCGCCCCACTGAGGTGTCATGGCAAACCGTGTTCACCCTGGTGAGGGGTCATGGCAAACCGTGTCCGCCCCACTGAGGGGTCATGGGTCATGGCAAACCATGTCCACTCCACTGAGGTGTCATGGCAAACCGTGTTCACCGCACTGAGGTGTCATGGCAAACCGTGTTCACCCTGGTGAGGTGTCATGGCAAACCGCGTTCACCCCACTGAGGTGTCATGGGTCATGGCAAACCGTGTTCACCCTGGTGAGGTGTCATCGCAAACCGTGTTCGCCCCACTGAGGTGTCATGGCAAACCGTGTTCACCCTGGTGAGGGGTCATGGCAAACCGTGTTCGCCCCACTGAGGTGTCATGACAGTGTCCAGCTCGCCGTGGTGTCACAGCGGACAGTAACCTGACAGTGTCCAGTCCAGTGCGGTGTCCAGGCACAGGGACACGGCCCAGACACCCAGCTCTGGTGGCCWTGCTGGTCGTGGCTGGAGGGTGAGGACACAGGCATGGGCACAGCTGGAGGGGTATCATGGTCCCTTCTGCACTCTGGCAGGGATAAAGTCACCCAAAGCAGTCCTGGTGCACAGCTACTGAATCCCGGTGCTGAGTGCCTCCAGCTGCGGGTATTCCCTTAGGAATTCATGGAATTGTAGGATTGTTAGGGTTGGAAAAAGCGTCTAAGATACCATCACCACACTCACCAGGTCCTCCAATAAACCCTGTCCTCAAATGTCATATCCACACATTTTTTTAACACTTCCAAGGATGATGACTCCACCACTTCCAAAAGAAGCCTCTCCCCATGCTTGGCATGTTAAAGGAGAATAGAAGTCCTTCATATGTAACATAAATCTTACTCTTTAACCTCGGAACCAGCCCATTTTGTTTTCCTTTCTAGATGTAACTTTGTACCCTACGTATACTGAATTTCACATACCATTGTCAACTATTTCAAATTTTCTCGATATCGTTTTGAACATCCTAAGTCCATACAATTAATTAAAATTTTAATTACATTTTTGAAAGGCTTGAAGTCAATATTCATCCTGAACCATCCACTTGGACTCACAGCGACTTTGTTCAGCATCACTGAGAGCTTCATGCAAGCACCTGCAGAATTTCCTTTTGGAAATCTCTCCGTTACGCAGCACTGTGAGGTACCAAAAGCTTCTTTCAAGCTTTCCAATTTTGTAATGATTAAAAAAACCCACTGGAACTGTTAGAAGAGTGTAATTGAAATCAATGCAAGCCATATGAATTTTCAGTCAATATCCTGCAGTCTGGGCTTGGGGGCGGGAAGGAAGGCGGGTGTTAGTGCTGGGAATTGGGGCAGAACTGGGCTGTTTCAGTTTATTTGTAATGCTCTGATTGCATTGAAGAAAATGGGTACGCTGGAGCCCGACTACTGCAGAATTCCTTGGCATGCTGCCGTGGCTGCGCAGAGCAAGCTGGAATACGGAAGTCAGACTGAAGTTTGAAATTATTATTTTGACTTTTTACAGTGGTAAAATCTTTACTGAGTGTTCTGTAACTTGGTTTAGGACAAATCCACAACGATCAGAACCAGATTTTCAAACCAAGCCATGCAAAAGGYAAGAATTACCTATAATCTTTCCAATTGATTTGCAGACGGATACTGAACTTTATTTATGGATTTATTTAGATTTTTAGGGATTAGTTGATTCTACTGAGAATGCACAAAGATGATGAGAGTTTCCTAGGCAAAATAATGGGATGCCCCATCCCTGGAAGTGTCCAAGACCAGGTTGGACAGSGCTTGGAGCAACCTGATCTASTGGAAGGTGTSTCTGCCCATGGCAGGGGCTTGCAAMTGGAYGACCTTTGGTCCCTCCCAACCCAAATCATCATAATCTTAAAAATCTCCTCAGTACCTCCSTTCATGCACTCACCAGGCAAATCCAATTTTTCTGAATCCCTCTATTTAGCCTCTTTAGCAGCAGGTTATTGCATGGCAGCAGGTTATTGCAGAACAGCCATTATAATAAAGTTCTTCCATCCTTAACCTAAGTAAAAGCATGGATTAATTTAATCTTAATTAAACTATCACAAACTCAGTGAGCTAGAAATATGAGCCATCTCTGGAAGTGTCCAGTGCCAGGCTGGATGGGGCTCTGAGTGAAGAGTGAAGAGTGAAGAGTGAAGAGTGAAGAGTGAAGAGTGAAGAGTGTCCCTACCATGGCAGGGGGGTGGAACGAATGATCTTTAAGGTCCCTCCCAACCCTTAACATAATTCCGTAACTCACTCTACGATAAACCGAGAGCCCGCAAAAACAACCAGCGGAACAGGACACAGCATTTGCGCATTTCTATGCCCATTAAACAACATCTGCCCGGCACGGCCGCGTCCCGCCGGTGCCCGGGCAGCGGCCGCGCCCCGGAACCGGCTGTGAGGGCCGGGTTGTCACCGGCAATAGCGTCCCCCGTGCCGAGCCGAGCCGAGCCGTGCCGTGCCGAGCCGTGCCGAGCCGGAGCCCCGCGGGGCCGATGCGGGAGGAGATGCGGGAGGCGGGCGGTGGATGCGGGGAGATGGCGGAGCGGGAGCGGCAGGAGCGGCTGAGGGAGGCGGCGGCGCTCGGTGATGCGGAGGAGGTGCGGCGGCTGGTGGAGCTGGGGGTCGGCCTCAACTCGCAGAACGAAGTGAACGGATGGTAAGGGCTGTCCTCCGCCCCGAACGCCGCGGCTCC